TATTGAAGATGTCAGGAGCAGAGACAAAAGGTTCTACTGAGACTTGAACTCAGATTGCTGGATTCAAAGTCCAGAGTCCTAACCATTACACCATAGAACCACCAAGTGGGAACTTAAATAAAGGAACCCGATTTCAAAGATGTCTACATTCAAGTCGCTTGGCGTATGAACCCTCACCAAACCTGAAGACTCTTGTTGACTCACTTCACCCTGTGAGAAGCATAACATACAAAATCTGTTTCTGTCTGGTTTCAAACCAGATACCTTTTGTGTGTTAGGCAAACGTGATAACCACTACACTACAGAAACTGAATTTCTGTACATTGCTTCAGTTTGAGGTTTTAAAGTTTAAGATGTCAGATTCAAAGCATAAAGTTCCTACTGAGGATTGCACTCAGATGCCTGGATTCAGAGTGCAGACTAGCCCATTGACCTTATTGGCATCAATCTATTTACGTTGATTTCATATATATTGAAGTATATTATTTTTACAAATATGCTACAATTACAATATGAGCACGTTTGTCAAGATCATGTATGATTTTCTTAGATCGATGGGAAGACCATACCAAGGTTGTGAGTTCTATCCCCATCGTGCCCAATCAGACAATCAAAACTTCAAAATTAAAAAGAGTGGAAAAAGAAACACTTCAAAAATAAAATCAACACTGGAAAATATACCTCTGGCATGTTGATTTTGAAAAACATTAGAATATGAGGCCTTTCCTGAAAACTTCATTGTAAGATCATGTCAGTTTTTCTTAAATCCATGGAAACTTAGCATTCTGTGTGGCTGGTTAGCTCAGCTAGTTAGAGCGTAGTGCTAAAAATGCCAAGGTCATGGGTTCAATTCCCATGCTAGCCAGTTGAAATATGAATTGGTTCAGACAATCAACTTCAAAGTAGTGAGAGGATTTAAGTTAAAACCTTTCATACATTGCTTTTGGAAGACAAAGGAATGTCAGCACTTTTATCAAATCGTAATTGTGGTAAAATCATGAAAGTTCTTCTTAAATCCATAGAAACTCAGCAGTTTGTAAGGTAGGTTAGCTCAGGAGTTTGCAGCGTGGTGCTGGTAACGCTGAGGTCATCGGTTCAATCCCCATACTGGCCAGTTCATATCTATGGTGTTTCAGATAATCAACACTTCAAATTACAAAAAGGGTGAAAAATAAAATTAACACTTCAAAATATAAAATGGTTCAAAAATAAATTCAATACTCAAATTAAAAATTGGTTCAAAAATAAAATAAACTCTTTAAAATGAAAAATAGTTGTAAAGTATACCTTTATGCAAGTTGATATTGAAAAACATTAGGATATGAGCGCTTTTGTTACGATCATCTAAGTCTTTAGCAAATCGATGAAAACTCATCACTCCAGAAACTTATCCAATTTGCTGGTAGATGATCCAAAAGTTATCAGAGACTAATGTCAACCATGGGCATGGAAAAATGTTAAATACTTATACCACAGATCCTCTCAGAGAGCACAGTAATTTAATTAAGATCTTGTTTTGATGACTGAAGAGTCCGACCACGACACAAAGCCTATTCGGGTCCGGACCCTGTGGTCCATTCATTTCTCTTGTTGTCTGAACCCAGTGAATCCTGGCTTTGACTTCTTACATTACTACATCTTACATTCTCCTTTTCCTTTGGGCCCAGGACTTGGACTGGACCAACTACAGCAACTCCAGATCCCAGCCGACAGCAGGCATGTGGGGTGCATCACTTTTCTGCCTCTCTCTGATGCACTCATTATTCTGACTGAGGGGAAATCTGGACTCATCACATCACATGACCTCCTTCCTTCACTCCTGAGTCCAATCTTCAGGCTCCCTCGCAAACAAACGCCTGTTTCTCCGGTTATTCTCCCTGATTAGTGGTTTTCTTAAGGCTACACAGCTGCTCAGCCTCAATCCCCTGAGTTTGCTTCACACTGAGCATGTGGAAAAGCTCTTACTATTAGACATCGCCCTGAGTTCTGCTGCTGTTGTTCTTCGACTGGATTTTTCTAACCCAGTTACAGTCATACCTGAAATCTCTGTTTGTTTTCTCTGCTTGATGCCGATGATCTGACCCGTCTGAAACAGCCTGATCTTTTTAGCAAACATATGGACAGAGGATGTGTTTTTCAACATGGCTGCTTAAGAAATGAGAAGCGACTCGTTCCCTTAAGTTGGATGTATGGGATTCTTTCAATTAACAAGTTCAAAAAGGTGTAATAAAATATTTCACTACCCTACTCTTTCATCCTAAAACTAATTCTGTGGGACTCTCTCCACTGAAAATCATTAAATCAGACGACAAAAATCACAGTGTTTGGTGTAAACACCTGTTGACCTGCAAGCCAACAAACCATGAAATGAAACGTGGCTGTGCCATGAATAAAGCAAGAGCTTATTAACTTGGTATTAGCATTCCAGTTTGTGGGTAAAGTAAGAATATTTTTAAAACAGAAGACAGTAACAAAGTTGTTGTTGGTATCAGGATGCCTGACCAGGTCACAGACGGGTCACACGGTGGGTTTTCTCCGGGTTCTCCAGTGACTCTCCACTGGCCAAACAGCCTTCTGGTTTGTTTGCAGGTTATTTCTCTTCTCTGTGTGATGGATCATAGGACCACCAGTCCTGTGGTGGTCCAAAGATTAAGGTGGAAAAGAAAAGAGATGGAGAGATAGGTCACGTTGTATAATTTATGAACATTATTTATTTAACTGAATTCAATTTTTAAGGTGGGAAAAAACAATCAAATGATGTTTGTTTTACAGAAATACCTCAAAAATGTCCTCCAAGCGCCAGTTTGAGAACTAAAGCTAAACAAGACACATTTCATCTGCCTGGTTTTATTGTGTGATTTTATTTTGTTGCTCTGACAGAATCTGCAGACGCCCTGAAAGGAAGAGGAGGCGCTCAGGGAACCCGTTAAGTCAAGGTTGTTATGCTGGCTGGCATTTTGTAATATAGTGAGGGATTCTAATCTTTATCAGCTTTAGTGGCCCTGACAAGCTAACATTTATTAAAGTCGGATCAGAGGCACTTCACTCAGGCAATAATGTGCTGTCAGTGACAGTTAGTGCCACCCAAGATGATCTTGTTAAAAAGCTTTTTAATCAGCAGTGGAGCTACAGGAAGACTCATCCGGAGACATCAGGCCTGTCTAAACATCTTCAGCCGCAGAGACGGTGGAAAACCTCGTACCTGCAGATGAACACGGAGAAACCAGCACACCTGCATCCGGGTGGAAAGAATAATGATTCGTTCTTGCACATTGCATTCCGTCTCGCGGTCCGCCGGCGTTGCTGTCACTGCCTTTGTCATCCTCCTCCAGTCAAGCAAGCACTTGTCACAGCTCTGACTCCGCCGTGCCTCCTCAGACACACTCACAGGGCGGCTTTGTCACACTGTCATTCAACCGGCCAGAAGAGAGTGAGAGGTGAGAAAATTTGCTCCTGTGCCTTTCTGTTTGACCGGCCTTTAGTGTGAAACCACTCAATATTCCCTGCTTGGAGCAAAGCAGTGGATTCTGAATACATTAAATGTGAAGTGTATGTCCAGGTGCGGCAGAAATGCAAATATTTCATCCACCTGAAGTTAAATCATTTCCTTTTGAACCCAAATCGTAATGTAGTTTTCCAGTATTTCCTCACCAGTGTGCAGATCCAAATGAACTCAGATCAACCTTTTTCTATTATCTCTAAAAAATTCCCAACACCTAAAAAATATGTAGAAATAACTCAGAGAAGTTATTGAATCTTACTGTATTTATTAAGGACAGAATGTCAGAGCTATTCTGCTCAACAGTCGGACGTCCTGCAGGCACAGGATGGATAATCTGAAGTTTAGATCGGAGATTCAGCCTCTGTTGACAACTTGTCAGGTTTGCAGCAGATTTTAGAAACTTTCAGGCTCCTGTGGTGACGTTATTTCAAGGTAAATCGTGACAAATCTACCTTTTCTGGGTAATGTCAAATCTTTCTGTAAGCCAGAAGCTGCTGTTTGGCAACGGCAGAAACTTAGACATTTTCCTCCCACTGTTTGTTCTCAGGTAAACAGCAGGAGCATCTGCAGTGTTGTGGTGCGGTTAGAGGCCATTTCTGGAGACGTCCCAATGCGTTTTATGATCTTATTTATGTTTCTTTATAGATAGTAATCTGGATCATTTGAACCTATGGGGTCCCAACACTTTGAAACAAAGAATCCTCCAATCCTCCATCCGGCCAGGATGTCGATGCAGCAGGTGGACATGGTTAGCTGATGCACATCATGTACGGCCCGTTCTCGCTTAGATCATAAGCAGTTCTGGTTTGTTGACGCGTCGTCTCTGATCAAACGTTTTCCTCTCAGTCGCCATCAGTTCCTCTAGGATGATCCTGTTCAGAAACAACCAGCTCATGGATGGCTGCCGTCTGTTCTGCTGCTTTTAGAAACTGTTTCTGCGTCTCCTGTTGGATTATCTGGTAACGAGTCCCAGCAGGTCGCTTCTGAATTCCTGACCTGGGCTGCTGTCGATCCACTGACCTGGTCTGCTGTCGATCCACTGACCTGGGCTGCTGTCGATCCACTGACCTGGGCTGCTGTCGATCCA